CTTCTGTACTTGTCCACTTTTTTTGTCAACAAATTGTCAGGCCACCAGGACAGACCACAAGCATACGGGTGGCAGTTTTGGATTCTAGGATGGAAATAGAGTTAGACTTATTTTTCCTAATCAGCACTGAGTGCAAGTTTTTCCTTCAGTTAATCCTCTGGGCCTTCAAAGCAAACTGATTTAAATGAGCCTGAAGGTGTAACACTAACTGCCCTGGTAATGGCACTGGATATGCATTGCTAATTGCTACTGATGGTAATGATAATTACATGTAGCTACTTCTTAGAAGACTGCCCTAGCAAAAAACGACTATTATTTCCTTTATCTCACTGATGCAGGCTGGCCCTTTCAATGCTTACCAAACATGTCACTTTTCCTTTTTCAAGACAAATGATGGTTTCACTTCACCAACCCTGTAAGTCCAAGCTACTCTTTTACAAAGTACTATGATACATCACAGCCATGCAAAATTGCAAAATAATTTTTTTCTTTCTGTTTTTAAAACTTCATTACTAGCGGAGATACTCTGAGGAGCTTGGAACAGTTGGAGTGATATTTTTGAAGATGAAGTTAGTAATAGCGCTGCTGTTCATTCCACCTCTCATGAAAGGCCTATCACTTTTTTTCATATAGTAGGGAATTGTAAATTAATTCTTCTCTGTCTCTATGGGTTTGGAATAGAAACAATGCCTTCACAGTTCAACGAAGTGGAAAGTCTTTCATCATTAGAAAATCAGCCAAGGAATTGGATGGCAAAGACCTCATACATTACAAAACAGTTGTTTGCAATTAAGGCCAGGAGTAAGATGTGCAGGAGTGTGTCATGCTTCTTTTTGTTTATTTAAGCAGCCTGAGGCATAATATTAGATTATTTGAATTGGCATTGTTTCCTTATCACATCCTATGATTTGCTATGCTTATTTGTATAAGTGTATGTAATATATCAAAGGATGGCAATCTGCTCAAAGTATAGACATTTTATATTTTGCTTGAATTTTGATCAATAACCAGAACATTTGCACAGAAGCATTCTAAAGCACTGACCACTGCTGGTGGTGGAAGATTATTTTAAAAATTGCTAGAGGGAATCAGCTAAGCACAAAGCCATCAACAAGATGAAATGTTGCATGCCAGAGTCTTTCTCTGCAATCAGTGGCAAAGTACCAACCTCTGCTGATGTTTCTTTTCTGTCTCACCAGTCTTACATTTCAGTGAGAGCTGTGAATCACTGTGTGCTTTGATGTAGTTGATACAGAAGTGAATAGAGACAAAGCTGAAAAGAAAGAAAGCGGACTATAATCTAAAAAGAGTCAGGTATCTTGGTCTACATCATCTCCTCGAGTCACACCACTGCCTGTTGTAATGGGGATCTCAGAACAGCAGGTAACCTTATATACCATATGTTGAGCAAGGTGCAGCAGATGGATGATGGTGTTCTAGTCTTCTCTGTGCTTTTCTTGCACTTGTCAATTCAAGCCCTAGGAAAAAGGCTGGTATCCAGATTGATAACACATGGATGTTCTCTAAGGGCTTGACTCTTTCATCAGTGCACTATTGCAGAAAGAAGTGTAATTTCTTTCTCTATAAATGTAAATTAAGATAGTGATAGCTGGTAGTTCTGAATGTAGATTTATTTTGTCTATCCTAAGGTTGTCAGAATGTAAATCAGGCTTTAAAGATCAGATTAGCCAGAGCTGATCAGTTGGTAGAAGTGTGCTACAAAATATTGCACACACATCATCTTCACAGAGAAACTTGTAAACAGAAGAAAAATCTACTCATAAATAGAGATTATAGTTAGCAGGGGCACATCTCTTTTTCAGTAACATGCATAAATCTAAAGTAACACAATCAAGTCCTTATGGCAATCTGAGACTCATTAGCTTTATGTTGCCAAGGTTTTTAAAAGATTTTTTCTCCTCTGTGAAGTAAATCTTACATACCAGATTCTAAATGGTGACACTGAAATGGAAGATTAACAGCACTTTAACGTGGTAGCCAGTTAGTTGCTTTGGAGTTGAAAATACAGTAAGCAAGGGGAGGGTCAGAGTGGGATTTAGGGAAAGGTTCTTCACCAAAGGATAGTCAGCAAGGAACAGACTCCCTCAGGCAGTAGTCCTTATCTTCTCTAATTAGAGGGCTCCCAATTTTGGGAGCATGGATTCCCAACATGAGTTAGCTCAATAGCAATTCCCCAGCTTGGGTTTGACCAATGATCAGACTGACCTTCTTATTTTGGGCTTGCACCTTTTCTGTGGTCTGTATGACACTGATGTCCAAAGAACATTAACAGTGAAGGTAGACCTTGGACTACTCTCATGGAATATCTTTCTGTAAACCTTGTCTCTATTGTGTTCTTAGTCATCAGGAAAAAAAGAATGCCACTGTAATACAGCAAATACATTTTCATCTTGCTTTTTCTGCTTTCCTTAAGAAAACACAGCATAATAGGTTAATGTTAAATGAATCACTGATCTCTAAATGTCAGTCCTTCAGCTATCTATATACTGATTTCTGAAAATACAATTTTAAATTTATCATTCATTTTCTTTTATGCTGCAAATTGTTGTTCTATAGAGTTTAAATTGCAGCTAGGACGATCTGATAAAAATGCGCAGAAATATTAGAAGTTTTAATCCAAACATTTATCAGAACTATGAAGCCTGCAATTTTACAGTACAGAAAATACAAATGGTGCAATGTATTTAGAGAACTTGAATGACATATGTTAGCAGCTGCAAATTCATATAACTGTGCATCACTGCAATCATACATTCAAGTTCTGAGCATTCTTCCCAGAGTGAGCACCCGTGATCTGTCTGAATAGAAATGATTCACCCAGGATTTTGGAAGCAAAGCAAAAAGGCTGAAGTGAGTTATTCAAAAATTGTTCCTGAAGAAGTAAATAACATAAGGTCAAAACTTTTCAAACCAGTTATGAATACCACAGCAAAATCCCCATTAATCTACAAATGTGCTTTGGATGGTGTGTTGGATTGGTGTATTAAGAACCAGGTCTCAAGTTTTTTTATTGCTAGGTAGTATCAAAAAGACTCAAGGACATTGCACTGAAGTCTCAGTGAAAGTTAATCAGCATCCTACTCTTAAAAGACTTAAGGGCTTAACACATTGCAGTGCCTCTGATCTCTCTTCCTTCCCCTGCTATTCCTGAATATTCCTCAGTGCTTTTTTTTTTTTTTTTTTTTTTTTTCATCAGATCTGCCAAAGATGATATCACCTACATTTCTTCATGTATCTCCAAGATTGCCAATGAGAAGCTAGAGATCAATCCAGCTGACTCTCATGAGTAATCTTTACCTTTTAAACCAGTTGCTGTGATTTTTTTTTCTGGACTATGCAGGGAAATGTTCATTTCAGATGTGTATGTTAAGGTCTGAAATACCTTTGGCCTAACGCATCAATTTCATTGCAAATATGTCTCAGCCCTTTACTGGAGCTTGTAGACAAGGCTACCTTAAGCTAAGTATCACAAAAACCATCTGGAATCTGACTTTTCAACTGAAGACTGTGGAAATTTTAAAATACGTAAAGTCTTCTCTTTGGGTGCTATTAGGTGAGTTAAATGCCTCAGACTCTATGTATGGACGTGGGCATGATAAATGGCTGTTGTGCAGGAAAACAGTGTGTAGTATTGTAGCTGCTGAGGAAAATTCCACATATGCTTTACCGTGTTGTGTTGTCAAGACTCTGAATCAGCATGAAGAAAGGTCACATTGCTCTCTGTGCTAGCACATGTGATTAAAGAAACAGCAAGACAAGTAGCAATCTCTCACTAGAGATTCAAAAATCACTTATTTAGAAAACTGATGCTTCCAAATTGCTGAGCAAGTTAAACAGCCCACAGGGAAAACTTGATCTTATTGTAATCTGTATTACTAACTACTCTACTATTGTAGCTCATAATCTTCAGATTTCTGGATACCTTCCATAATTTGCGTCCCTATCATTCTTTAGAGGCTGGTTTTCTTTTTCTCTCTCTTTTTTTTCCTTCTTAATTTTAAAAATATTTTATCCTGGTTTATGCTGGGCTCCATCAGAAAAGGGGTGGCCAGCAGAGACAGGGACAAGACTGTCCCTCTCTACTCTGCTCTTTTGAGGCCCCATCTGGAGTAATGTGTCCAGGTCTGCAGCCCCCAGTACAAGAAAGTCGGGTAGCTGTTGGAGAGGGTCCAGAGGAGAGCTACAAAGATGATCAGGGGACTGGAGCATCTCCCCTAGGAAGACAGGCTGAGGGAGCTGGGCTTGTTTAGCCTGGAGAAAAGAAGGCTGCAGAGTGACCTCATTGCAGCCTTTCAGTACCTAAAGGGAGCCTACAAACAGGAGGGGAATCAACTCTTTGAAAGCATTAAAACACTCACTTTCTGTACTAATTTCTTGTCTCTTACTGAATGAAAGCATGAGCTGAGGTATGTGTTTATGCCAATAATTACAAAGGTGTGGTTGTTTCTGAGCAGATGCATGGGTTGTCAGATAAAAGCAGAGGTATCAAAACAGTTAAACAGTTTTCCCTGACTTCTGGCTTCCTACGATGAAATCTCTGTAGCTCTTCTAATCTACTTTGTCTGTCTGTTGTTTTAGTTTTAATGGCTGCTCTGCTTTTCTGGTATACTTGATTACAGTAATATTTTAGAGTCGTTCTTTAGCCTCATGGGTTGCTGAAATGAAATTAATTATTGCAAAGTGCTGTAACAGAACAGCAGTAATGTTCTTTGAGCTGTGTATAACACCATATCCCCAGATGGTTGAGTTGTTTAATAAACTCATCTTCACCTCATATATCAGTTATTTCAACTGTTCAGAAAGCAAGTTTCCATATGCAACTCTTGCACAAACATGACCATGATTTGTCCAGTCTAAGAAATTGTGTTTACATACATCAAAGAAACGTGAATAACGGTTGTGCATATAGGTAATTTTAATCCATTCCATTTTTAAATACCACAATAAATTTAATTTTCACAATAAATTAAATAGCCATATTCAGTTTACAAAATAGAATTACTTAGTGTGAAACCAGTATTTACAAACATTGTACACTATGTACACGATGTTTGTCTTTGTCAATACTCAACCAGAGAAGAAAAAGTTATTTGATTTTTATTGACACATGATTGACATGCTACAAGTGACACCATGGTCCATACAATAAAACAATAGTGCAAACTCACCACAGGAACCCCGAACCAATGTTGTTTAATTAAATATTAATTTCAAATAATAAGAAAATAGTACTATCCACTCTCATTGTAAAAATTCAGTATGGTATTTAAAGTGTCAGTATTCCTTCAGCAATACACATACCAAATATAGCCTGAATATTATGCTTTCTTACAGCTTCACAGACTTTTGACATGAATTTGTATGACATAAACTAACATTCTGCTTAGATCAATAAGTATGTCACATAAACACTTCAAGCAAGAGGAACACTGACCCTTTTAATGGTGTCTGACTTTATTTCCCTAAGTACCACTTTGTCCTTTATTAGTATATCTCAAAAGATGCAACTATGCTGACGGTAAATTAATGTTATTATTCCGTAGAAAAAATTGATCCCACTGTATATTTGGTCACACACTGCATATGTACACGTATGCATGAAAAATGTTACTTTGATACTATGTCTGTGAAAAGTGCATATTTTAGCAGAGACATTACTGCATGTCTCAGATGCATCCGAAAATGTTGTATGAAGTTTAGGTCAGGGCCAGTTAAATGTCCTCCCAGTGATCTGGTAAAATTTTTGATTAAAAGGATGAAAGAACTTGCGCAATTTGGTAATGACAGAGGTGTCCACCTCTGGATGAATGCGTCCCTTGCTACCTGCCAGGCACTTATTAAAGACAATGTTAAATCGCAAGCAATAAAACCCTCTGGTGGCATTGAAGTATAAATTGTACTGACTTATCCTTGGAGGAAGATTTAGGAACTTCTCGACCAGCTGGAGTTCCGGCAGTGGTTCTGTGATGAGCCGGTCTCCATCTACGATATGAAACTGCTCAATTGGGAAATATTTTAACCATCTCTCCAGGTGTTTTGTGTAGATGCTGGTTCTTACTGCCTTATACTTAGTGTTCACTTCACAGGTATTAGGATCAATAGCCAGCTTTTCAAATTTGTAGTAAGTTTTGTTCTTTCTTTCCTTGCCTTCCAGCACCTGAGTGTAATCAGAAATAGCTCTTGTGGTGGGTTCCCTGACAATGATCAATAATTTGATAGACGAGTTCATTTTGTAAATCCTTTCAGGTACTTCCTCAGTGATAAAGTATGCAGGGCTTTTCTCAATTGTTATTTGATGAGGGTAAGAAAAAGGCATTTTTTTCCGGTACCACTCAATCCCCTTGGCATAGTTCTCATCGTTGTCAAAGAAATGAATCTCTTGAGAAGCTTTGACCACTGCAGGGTGAAGATTCAACATCTCTAACAGTGCACGTGTGCCTCCTTTCCGCACCCCAATGATGATGGCCTTGGGAAGCTGCTGAACCAGATTGTGCAGTTGTATTTGCTCCTTTGTGGCATTGCCCTTACGGAACTCGTGGAGTAGCCCTCGCTTGAACTGCAGAGCTCGCAGCGGGATTTCATCCTGGCTGCGGGGTCCAAATCGACCATCGATGGGGCAGAGGGGCTGCAGTCTGCAATCAGTGGAAAAGATATTTGTAAACAGAGGGCAGCTCTTAAGGTAAGCTCACAATGCTCACAGAAACCTTTCGCAACATGGTGTCTTTCAACTTGTATTTTATTCTGTCAGATGTTAGTAATTAGTGTAAACTGTTCATTTATTCTGTTATTTCACTATGTTCTGGCTGAGTACCCCCTTCCTCTACTGTTCTACTCAAAGGAATGCTTATTACTGTTCTTTGAACTTCTTGAACCTTATCTCACCTTTCACATTACTGATTGCTTTGAGATTGCTTCAGAAGCTTTTAAAGCATTCTAAGATGAGTTTTATTTGGCCATTATGATCTGAAAATCTAGATCATCTAACTCCTATCTTTCCAACACTAGCTCTATTCTAGCTTGAGTTATTTCCTGTTACTACCCATTGTGTTGACTTTAGTAACTGCTGATCCAGGCTTAGCTCTTTTAGTGAAGAGGAGCAAAAGGGATTAAAAATAGTTTCCAAGGCATCGCCCCTCAATATTTTCCATCCTATTTAGCGTATACCCAGTATAATTCCTGGGCAGAATCAGAAAGACCAGGGTTCTGAAACAGACATGATCAGCAGAGGCACAGAAAGGACAGTAAGACAAATGTTCAAAAATACATTTATTACATCATTACAGCTATAGTTTTCTTATCATCACTTGTGTTTCTTCTCACTGAACAACCGTTTGTACTTTAATTTTTTATATTGCTCCTGCATGATGTTTGCATAATTCTTTTGTATTTACCTTTCAATTATTTCATACATTTTCTACTATTCCAATTCTTCCTTCTCATATTTCATGTCAATGAATGGAAGAAGTGATTCAGTTAGAGAAGCGTTTAAATTTTGCTACAAAAGAGCCCTTAATAAGCCCTCACTTTCACTCCCAAACAGTGCTTTGGTCATTAAACAAGCCAGTGTTACACTGAAGATGAAACAGGTATGTAGAGAGAATTTCCAAAGCCCAACAGAAAAAAATATCAATAAATTTGCAGAGCCATGATCTCCAAAACTAAAAATATGTAAGAACAAAGGTTGCCTAGGCAATTTTAATATGAGCTTGCTGTGCATATATATTATGATACTGTTTTTAAATTACATGACCACATGCTATTATTTTTCACAGGACCCCTGCCTCAGCCGGCATACCAGATGGGCAATGCTCATTAATAGCTGTTTAGGTATTCAGTATTTATTCTGTTTCCTCAGTATGTGGCCCCTCATTCATTTACTGTATATTATTCAAACCTGCTTTCAGGACAGAATCATTTATTTCTTTTTGGCTCTTCCATCCATCACTGCCTGTTGGAGTCTCTAATTTGACACTGATGCTATGACAATGGATGGCTGGGACCAAGTAAAAAGGTTAGCCCCTGGCTGACCCAATAACTGTTTCCTTCACTATCTAAATGCTGTGATATACTATGCCCAGACAGATCTGAAGAAACATCCCAGATGAGTTTGTTGGGTTTAAATGAGCTTTATTTAAGTTCTACACACCAGTGACAAAGTGTTTGGAGAAGTGAGTCCCTGTTGTCATTTCTTTTCTCAAGTTTCCACTCTTTTCTCTTTGCTTTTTGCTGCCTACCAAATAAGAGCCTGATTTGCTCACAAAAATTGTATTATTGCAACATTTACTCCAACTTGGCAATAAAAAGGGAACCAAATAAACCAACCAAAACAACAAACAAAACATCTGAAAACAGTATCTTAACTTGACAGTGGTATAACTTAGTCAGGCTATGGTGGGACTGTTAAGAGTCATTCTGCAGTAAGGAGGTGACAGTTGCAAGCATAAAAAACAGAAGTTGCAAGCATAAAAAACAGAAGCTAAAATCCATCTCTGTTCTTCTCTTCCCTCTCCTTCTGTGTATTTGCTATTTGTTTTCAAGCAAAAATGTTCCACAACAGCAGTTCCAGACGTATCTCAACTAATTTTATCTCTTTTCTTCAAAAAGATAGCACTGCCTTCAGTATAACACAACAGCTTGTCAAACAGGGTTGTTTCCTTTAAAAGTAAACAAATACTCGAGATATCCTCTAGCCTAAGAGAAGGATTGGATGTTCTTAAAAGTCCTTCCTCAACACTTTGCATTCCTCTACCCTTTACCCTTTCTTCTCCTCTCCTCCCCAAACAATGAAAAGTCCTATAAAAGATCTTGACTATCTTAAGATTAAACAGGCTGTCACATCTTGGTAGCTGAATCCTGAGATGCAGCTATTTACTATGTTAATATTTTTGCTTTTCAGAGTCTTCTTCTTGAAAAAAATCCAGTGTAGAGCAGTTCATCTCAGAAAAATGTTTCTGCCAAGTAGTTAAACAGCTAAAAGACACCTGGGTAATCTTAACAACAAGTAGTGATGCTGCAAGCAATTTCTCTTCTGATCCAGAATAGCTGCTAATTTGTTTCCAAAGCAGATGTCACAGTGATACAAGCCTGGTTCCAGGAGTTCAAAACATCAAAATTGGGTATGGAGGCTCCCCATAATTCCAATGAGAATGTTAAACATCTTGAAGACTCACACAAATTTTCTCAGAATTTTTATGGACGAACTTTGGTTGAGCTTCTACACATGAAATAGCTCTGTTCATTTGTGCTCTGAAGGACAGGGGCCTCCTCTGGAGGGAGGTACTCAGCTTATCAGACTTTATGACTCAGTGAATCAGATAAGCTATTGCTAATTTCCTAAGGGAACTCAATTCCTGAGACATCTGCAATGAGAAATGCCCAGCTCTCTCTCAAGTGTAGCTTGGGTCATACTGTGGTAGAATATTTCCAGTCTGCTCATCTGTCTCAAGATTTCTACGCACTCTTTCTCTCTTTTTCTCATGAGTCCAAATAAAGGGCTTCCTTTTGGCAGTGTGGTATTTTACACATTGGATAATGGAAAAAAATGAAACAGGGTTTTACTTCCAGTGGCAACATTATATATGAAAACAGTGGAATTCAGTGCCTCAGGAGGTCAATGAGTCAAATATTGTGGCAAGATAATTTTATGGCCAACAGTAAATTCTGAAGATGTGCAAGCATAGATAATAGCATAAGGTTAATTAGATTTTATGCCTCCCTTCATAAACATGCTGTTTCAGGGACTAATAAGGAATTCTGTGTCCATTTCCAGAATCTCTTTAGTCACAGTGAAGTTTTCACCTCTAAAGTATCAGAGATGCTTTGACCACTGGGGGAAGAAAACTATAAATCTTGGGGCCTAATTTGCAATCCATTTAGTTCCAGTTGACAACATGATCTCCCTCTTCTTCTGAAATTGGGTTATACAGTTGAAGAAGGCAGCCATCGACCTGAGATGCAGTACAGTGGATATTGTATATTGTAGTGTCAGAGTTTTGAACTCAACTAATACTTTCCATCATTTAAAAGAAGTCCATTAAAGCAACATTAGCACTCAAAAGCTATTTACCAGCTTCTGGAAATCCCGAGGTCTTCATTCATTCTTTCAAAACAATCTTTTCTACTCTGTCTTTCTATAATGCCTATCAGAGCAGTCCTAGACCACTGTGAAGGTGGCAGAAAAAGCATGGTCATTGTGAGTAGCACCACTGTCACACTGTCAATAACCAATCAAAAATCAGTCTGGCCAAAAGTGTCAAATACTTTTTGATTTCCTCTCCTGTATTTTCTATTGCTCCCCAGGAAATCACTTGCAGAGACAATCTTTTTATTTGGCACTTTCAACTCCAGAAAATACTGGCTAATTAATGCAGTTAAAAAATTCTAAAGCCCTACAGCAATCTTTCAAATGAAATAGTATTTAAAACTTGACGAGCTACTCTGCAGACTCATACTTAATTTTAACTGCCACTGTAGCACATTAATTGCTTGCTCATAAATTTAGGAAGATGATGTATAAATATATCAAAACTGTTCTGCTGAAAGTAGAGGTCAACACACAGATGCGCAGAGACAAAAAAATGAGCTATTCTAATGATATTTTTACTGGACGTTTTTTTTATCTCTTCTCTGAAAATAAGTGTCAGTCTGCTAAGAATGCAGATGGACAGACTGAAGTACTTTGACAGGGATGACCTGCAACTTTGTTTTCCTATTCTGCAGAGGGAAGGAAACAATTATGAAAATCAGTAGTAGAGTGGTTGGTCTTTCATGAATACATGAATAGAAGCTAAAAAAATGAGAAAAGAAATAGATCCTCTAAAGAAAAACTCATGCAACCTGTGTTCATTTGCAATTAAGAGAGTGGCTAGTGAACAACTTACCTATCCAAGCTCCCAACTCTGGCAACTAGATATAGGAGACTTCCTATAGCAAGGCTGCCTAGCACAAAGAGCTTCTGTCTCAGCAACACCTGCTGTTTGAATAGCATGGCCCTCCATCAATCTTCAGGACTTCTTCAGTCTGCAGAGAGAAGAACATATAAAGCTCTCATCAGTAAGCAATATGCAGTGTAATGTTTAGTAACAGGCCTTCCATTAGTTGCAGGTCTTGTGCCCACAGTGTGTGGGACCTGCTCACTGTGTTTCTATTATATTGTTAGTGAATGAGCTGGACAGAAATCAGTTTATTTCCTGGTCTGTGCCAGCAAGCTTCTGGTGGCAGATCTGTGAAGCGTGAAGCTGGGATGGACACAAGGACATTTTTTTAACAGTAGTACAAAGGTAAATGTGTGATGCGTCTTATCAGGTCTCTTTGTGTGTCAGTTTAGGCTGTTCTGTGGAAAATTCCTTAAACACCACATCTGACTGATGCCAGTGCTGGCTTTTATTTCAAGGCCTGATGCAAACTTGAGCTGAGCATACCCATACTCATCTTCAAATTGCAGCAGCAAGCATGGACTTACATTTCCTTTTATGATATGTGCCAGAGACCACTAAATTGATATGGTTTGCTTGAGAGAGTAAATTTTCTTCATAATATCTCATAGAGTGATATGTTTTGAATTTTTGATGAAAACAATCCTGTTAACACACTGATGTTTTGACTGTTGCAGAGCAGTGCTTACACTAAGGACTTTCCAGCTTCTTGTTACAGCAGAAAAACACCTCAGTATGAAGCTGCAGTCAGTTTCCTTCCAGAAAAAAGAAGAGTATACCTTATATAAACAAAAGACATGAATTTTTGAGTTGTGAGGAAGAGTTCAGATGGTGGGCCAGGGTAGATCTGCAGCTCACCAGTCTTTCCTTCCCAGCAATGATCTTTCCACATTAGAGTAGCTGTCATTATTCCCCACTGAATTTTTCTATTTTCTCTTTTATCCCTAAGCCTGCTATTGCCTTTGTAAGTCCAGCTCATCACCTCTACCTTGCAGCACTGAAGACTTGAGTCTGGCTGAGTCTGTGACACTTCTGGTGTGCTAGTAGCAAAAGTAACTCTTTATACAGCCAGGTCATGGCTGTATACATACAGAACAATATGCTTCTCACTAGATACATGAAGCTCTGTAATAAGAATTTTTAGGTAAGATCCTTATTACAACAAGAATTGTATAAAATAGTAAAAGGAATTTGCAGTGTAAATATTAAGAAAGAATAAGTATCATACTTTAAAAATAAATGAAGAACAAAGGTAGAGAGAGATTAAGTGATTTGTTCAAGGTCACAGAGAAAATCCATGGGACTAGTGGGATTCAATTTGACATGTCTATGTTCCTGTCTAGTGCTGTAATTATGTGATAAACTTTTATCTTTATTTTTTAGTATATTTTTAGCTGAATCTTATTGTTTAAGAAAAATGCTGATACACAACTGCTGTTTATTCTCTTAATTAATTAATTAAAAAAGGAGGTGGGAAAGAAATCATAATGACAATTCATAGTTTTTCAGGTTAAAATCCTTCAGTGCTGCTCTTTCTAAATAATAGTATCATGTCAGTGTTACAATTATTGGTTCTGAACTTCCTTTCTCACAAAACATATATGGACCTCTCTACACGAAACTAAAGTGTTGGGAGCATGTCCTCCCTCATGCATACTCTCAGACTCCTGTTAATTCCTGCCTGCAGGTCTCCTTGAAGCTGTAAAGGTCATCAGGTCACAATTAAATCAAAATCAAAGACAAACTATTTCAGAAAGTGGACTCCATGAAGTCTTAGTCCATCCATATTCAGCTGTGCAGTAAAATTCAGTGCAAGAAGAGAAAAAAATAGACAATTATGTTTGCACTGTGTATGTACTTGAGTGTATTTCCACATACTGAAAATTTTTTGACAGAATAATGGGTATCGAGCACTCACTGAAATGCATATGCAACATTATTTGTTTGCTTATGTAATTTTTGTTATCGCTTCCAGCATCTAATTTAAAGTCCAAGGAGGAAGTATTATTCTTCTGAGGTTCTAGCTAATATAACACCTTCCTCAGATTTTAGTTGTTTTCATAAAACTAAATTTAGAAAAAAATGTATTTCAGCTTCAGAAATGTCTACATCTTGCCACAGATGTACAGAGACAGAGGAGAGGACAGAACTGTCTTAGGCCATGGGGTTGATGCAACCACAATGTGATTAAGGTGAAGGCCCCAAAGGCAAAAATTTTGCTGAAGACTAACACATCAACACTTCAGGATGGAAGAAATGAAAATTCTGGGACACATCATAGGCTGCACAAAGTTTACCATAGGGAATATGCACTTTTAAACTTAATAAGAAGCTGTAAGGCAAGATAAAATGTAATCCAAAGTGACATGATTTTAGCAGCTATTTGAGGCAAATAAGGATTTTCGTTTTGGAATTTTACTCTCTGTTATGGACCATGACTGAACTGACGCACCAGCTTCTGATCAGCAGGACAAGGCCTGGGGAAGCACCAGGCAGAACTGATGCTGAATGTGGAACCTTTTACCAAAGGAGACAGCAGCATACTGCTGCACAGTCCAGTGGACTTACATTACAAATACCCGTTTTGAGCAATCTAATTAAATATACAAATACAGGAGGAAAGCCACTTCCTGGATATCCAAAAGATAATCTACAATGCATAAGAACAACATAATTCACAATGTAGAACTTGTGATTTCTAGAAGTGCAACTGTATGCAATATAATGTACAGAAAAAAAAGGTAAGCTACTTAGTGAATTGCAGATGAACAGCTGATCTAACTTGTTAGATTAATATAATTATCTTAAATAAATAAGCTTCATTTAGTGTATTGATATGATTTCATCATCTGACCCCATTTGCCATAGAGGCATACAGGTGAGAAGAAGGTATTAGTTGAGAGCAAAATGAGTCTCATCACAGCAGATGCCAATTAGATTGGAGAAGTCTAATGGCCTAAGTGCGATTTTAAGAAGCAGAGATCCCATGTTATTTCAAAAAATGAAATTTAGTACTTTCAGAATTTTTGTAAGTACCAAGACAGAAAGTCAGTGGCAGTGAAATAGATGGACATCTGTGAGAAGGAAGCAATTATTCCCCTGCATGCTACTACACCACATCATTGAGTAAATGAACTAAAATTTCAGCAACTAAATAAAAATCTTATTTCATTGGCTAAATTAAATGGGAGAAGATGGAAAAACAAACAAACAAACAAAACAATGTAATTGATAATGATACCACCACTGGTAGAAATTTGAATTTGATAACGTAACAAATTTTCCATAAGAACTGAACCCAGAAGCTGTTGCTACACTTACCTATCCCAAATAAACTGACAGGGAGACAGAAGAACTACCAGAATGTTGTTTGAAAATGATCAGAAGGAAATTTTTGGACACAGATAGCAAAGAAGGGAAGGTTTTATTGTTAAACGAATGAAGTATGGTTGATTATGGGGAGAAGTATAAGAAAGCAATATTTAAACCTTTGATAAGCAGATTGTTGAGAGACAGTGTTGATGGAGTAGTGTGGCAATCAAAGTGAAGTACAAATTATAGGAAACTATGAACAAAGAAGACCGAAGTAATAATAAATGGGATTTTTTTTAAATTGAATTGGCTTAGATTATGAGTTGGCTTAGATTATTTTTGTTTTACACACCAGCAGGGGTCATCTGTTGACCAACAAATATTTGTTTTCATGCACTGCATAAATATTTTTGAATTTATGTGAGATTCAAATATAGTGATTGAGAAAACAAGTCAACGCTTGGCACTTTTCTATTTCTCTTGCTTTTGCGTGATCTCTCTTAAATGTTAACTACAGTTTCTTGCATTTGTCACAGTGAGTAAAACTCACATAAATCAAGCATGTAGACTTCATCTGGGAAAGGAAAAAAGGTGCTTGGGAAAGGAGGGAATTTATCCCTCAAAATCTGTGCATTAGCTCATCAGCTCATGATTTTCATACTATGGCAAGAGAAGCATCATACTCCTGATCTTCCTTTAGCCAGCTCTTCCTTCCTCTTGTGCTAGCTTGCCATTAAAAAGTGTCAAGTGGTAAGGATAAGATATACATCCTCTGCATTTTTTTCCTGGTACCTTCCCATACAGTTTAATTGGTAGATAACTACTGTACTATGTGGAGAGTATTAAAAAGTTGCAATAATCGTGATAAAGCAGAACATGAATTTTTATTAGAGAGAGTATTTTTCATTCCTACAATCATTGAATAGCCTAAGTACTGGTAGAATTTATCCTCCTTTTTTTTTTGACCAAGTAATGTGAAATGGAGAATGGAAATGGAAATCTTTGAATATACCAGTTTTCACTAGGAAGGACAAATGCTGAACCTGTAGAAAGGAAATTTCAATTTTAGTTTTTCAGAAATCTTCTTTATTGATTCACACTTTCAATAGCAAAAACAAATTTAATTCGGATGAGTAATCATCACAGTGTTTCATTTTTTTTTTTTCTCTCTAGCATAAGTACTACTGAGTGAGATGGGATGAAATAACATCAGAACACATTTCAAGGCCTGAAGGAAGAGAAGATGGAAACCCTTTCACTACAGGGAACAAGTTCACAGATTCACATAAATGTATCTGCCTTCTAAGCATGTCCTTTTCTCCTCATAACTCATATTGACTTAAATAGTAGAGCAGAAAATGTTAGCAAAGATGACAGAAAACAGTAGTGGTTGCAGATAAATTCTAACATGAAGATTTCCTATAATCTTATGCCACTGCTGTGACAATAACTTAAAAATACCTTTTCCTATCTGCTATTGAAGAGTTTTGACATTTACAACTGCCTTTAAGCTGCCCTCAAAGCCAGTTCTCTGTATAATGAAGTGGTAATATATGCTTTCTCTAGAAAGTCTGCTTTACTCTGAGAGACCATCCACAGAATCAACACTTACATGCATAAATTAGATAAGAAAACACACACTCCTTTGGCAAAAGTTAGCACACTATCAGTGCTGAAGGAAAGCATTTCTAATTTGTATCCCAAGCCATTATGGTTGACTTGGGTGTTACACCTGGATATCTGATCCCTATAGAGAATGGTAACAGCTGTCTG